GAAAAATGACTTGGACCCCCTCTCTCTCCCTCCCCTACCATCCCACACACACGTGGGGATTAGGGATTGAAGGAGGGAAAAAAAAAAAAAAAGCCTGACCAATAGGGAGCCAGTGGAGGCTGTGGGAGTGACTCCCACTGGAGGTCTCAATCACTGTCCATTATTATTTTACCCTTTAAATTCAACAATCCATAAGTCAATAAAAATAGAATGGTCATTTCGGTTTTACTATAATATTTTATTACACATTTTTTCATAAAAAATCAAAAAAATATTCCAAACATATTTTTTTTTCTTTACTTCTTTAATAAAAAAATATACTTATTTACAACATTCATAAATTGTCAATCTTCCTCAATGGTTGAAAATGGAGTTAGAAAAGGAGTAATTTGACAATTTGGTAAAAAATCAGTTTTTTAATTTTTTTACCCAGTTTTTTCAAAAAAAAGTCACAAAAAAATATTTAAAAAGTCAGTTTTTTTTTCAAAAAAATCAAAAAAATTAATTTTTTTTCGACTTTTCAAAATATCCCGAAATTATCTTCCTTCATTGAGAGCCCAGGCCATTATTGGGATTTTGAAGGCGTCTGCTAAGCACAGCCCTTGAGTCAGGAGGAGCATCATGCATTGTTGAAGATCAGGGAGCATTAACAGAAGGCTGTGATTGGACACCTGGAAGAGGAAATACCCATAACAACAATGATTCATCCCACTAAAAATATCACCACTAATAGCACTAATGCATTAAAAAAGTAAAAAAAAAATAAAAAAAATACAACTCTAAGACCAAAACATCACATCATTAATGACGGGACCCACTGCCACCTAATTAGTGGGAGCACTAATTAGTGCTCCCAAGCATTTTTCATACCCATAAACCCCTCAGCCCCATTGGAAACAATCTTAGTACAACTATTGAGTTTTTTTTTATCGACATGCTAATAATGACATAAGTACAAAATCAATCCTATGATATCTTCTTCAACAGAGGCTAGATATAACGAGCAAGGATCTTCTCTATACCTTCCTTGCATCACTTCTTTCTTGTAATAATCAAAATTCATTTGAAGAGAATTCAATGGCGTAGATTATTTCTAAAAAATTATTTTTTATTTTTTAATATTTTTAATAAAATTATTTGAGTCATTAAATTTTTTTAAAATGAATCTTGACCATTGCAAGGAGAGAGTGAAGTAGGGAAGGTAAGGAGAGGATCCTTGCTCCACCTTTTGCTAGTTGTTAGGACTATTCAATTACGTAGCGGTTAGTCACAAACTCACATACATGTAGGATTTTGAACTCACACTTTTACACTGGGTATGGTTCGCTTAAACCTGAAAAGTTTATCTTACCAACCATATATATTGTCACCCGAATAATTGGCCTAAAAAAAAATGAAACCTCATACAAAATCTTACCAAATTACTGCACCCCTTGGGTTAGTTCTTAAAATACTTAACCTGGAGGGGGAGAGAAAGAGGGGTGTTGATTAGCTGTTAGTAACTAGTAATGATTTTTCCAGTCATGTTTATGTTGTAGGTAAGAAAAATTGCCAATGTTTTAGTGCACATGACATGACATGATGCTACCACTTTGTCCTACCGTTCTCATCATATGATTGAGCAATGGGCTTATTGTCTCATGATGCATACCTTTATTTTGTGACGAGATGAGATGGATAATGATTTTGCAATGTCTAATAATTATAATTTAAAAAAATATATTATTTAATTTTTTTAAAGGTAAATGTAACAAATTATATAATCATGATTATCAGATTGATTTTTAATTTTTTTTATAAATATTTTACACATAGGTTACAAATAAATAAAGAGTTATTTACACGGAAATCTCCTAAACTATTAAGAAGTATCGTTTTACTTCATAAATTATAAAAGCGTATAAATGGATCTCCTAAACTATTAGCGTGTTTCACTTTGATCCCTTCTGTCAGGAGGGCTAATTGGAACACTTTTATAATTTAAGAGATTTATTTGCACGCTTTTATAGTGTAGGAGGTAAAGTGATAATTTTGAATAATTTAGAGGATCTATTTGTATGTTTTTATAATTTAAGAAATCAAAGTGATATTTTTTAATCACACATTCTAATTAAAGTGTGATTATTTATATATTTTTTAATCACACCTTCTAATTAAAGTGTGATTATATATACACTACTACTTTTTAATCACATTTTTTTAAATGAGTGTGATTAGATCACACTTTAACAAATGAAAATATCTCACTTTTATTAGAAGTGTGATAAAAAAAATTAGATTAATATTTTAATCACACTTGATTTGATTAAGTGTGATAGTATTTATTTTTTATATCACTTTTCAATTAAGTGTGATTGTATTTATATTTTTTAATCACATTTTCTAATTAACATGTGATTAAAGATCACATAAGAAGAATTAAAAATATCTCACTCTTATTAGAAATGTGATTAAAAAAATTAAAATGTTTTTTTTAATCACACTTAATTTAATGAGTGAGATAATATTTTTTTTCAATCACACATTTTAAATAAGTGTGATTATATATATTTATTTTCATCACAGATTGGTGTGATTATATATAATTTTTCAATTTAATGTTTATATTAAATAATTATTCCCATATTGTATATAAGCTCATGAAATTGCTTTGGTAGAGAGAGAAAGAGCTGGGCAATTTCTTTCTAGGGTTTCTTGCGGCTCTCCATCTCGCCTCTGTCGTCGATGGCCACTGATCAACGCGTCTTTCCATCTCCCCTCTTGCTCCTCCTCTTTTCCTTGCAGATTAGTGCCGCCGCTGCTCTTTCTAGTCGCCATCGTTGGCCTTTCCAGCGTTGCTTCTCCTCTCACCGTTGCTGCTTCTCTCTCTCTAGTTTATGTTTTCTTATTCACTATAAGTTCTTTAATTCCTTCCCCAACCCCATGAACTTTTGATATGCTAGTTGACCTTAACCACGTGCACTGCACTCTTTGTAACCAATGAACCATTCATTTTTTATGGAATTTTTTTGTTGTTGGAATAACTTGTTGATATTGTGATTCTTATCGTACCATTTTCCTTGTATGTCAAATGTTCGATAAAATGTGTCAATGGAAAATTTTTGTTATTTTTATTTTATCTTTTAATTTTTAGCCAAACACCGAAAAATAAGAATTATAATGAAACTTTTACGGTAAAATGCTCTCTTTGTAAACCCCCCCCCCTTTTTTTGTCCTAGTTTTTGTGTATATTATATGCATCATTACACTTTCTGATTATCTATGTGTTGTTTCCCTTAGATTCATGATAATCTATATGGCAAATTATGGAGCCTATATTTCATCTACTAGGCAGATTTTAATTTTTATATGTTATGCTTAGTATTTGAAATCATTCAATCCAAACTAGGTGTTAATAATTTAGGGAGGTTGAGGCTCAAAATTCTGTTCTGGAGTTTGTGGGTCATCCACGGTAGGGGGATTATTCATGTGGGTATGGATTCTACATTTTTAGGATTTTTTTTTCTGGTTAGGCTTGATGGTAAGGTAATGCTAATGTTAATTCATGTTGGTATGGATTATAGATTGCATGTTGACAACATATTTATGTTAGTTAGTTATCTCAAAATGGGATTTCTTTATCAGCTGTTATTGGTGGCTTGTATATACGCATTTTGTGCATGAATTACATAGCAGATGTAAACATGGCCACGATTACCACGTGCATGCTTCTCTAGTAGTATAACTATATACGTTGTGCTTTGATTTATAGAGCTTGAGACAAAGAGAATATTGCTTAATATTTTCAAAGAGAAGCAGCAAAAGAGTGTTGAAGCTGGCACAATTCCAAGCTTCTAAAAAGAGGCAAGCATTGTTATTGGTGCTTAGGTATTTAAATTAATATAGGCCAAGTGATTTTGTCACTTTCTTTCTTTGGTATCTACTTGGATAGAACTTGAGTACAAAATTTGTCCATTTATTTTGGTATCTACTTGGATAGAACTTGAGCGCAAATGCTAAAGGGAGAATGTCCCTTATTTTCATATAGTTTTGTTGGTTTCATTAATGTGATATTGTTTTTTTCGATTTTCATTTTTTTTTCGTATTTTGTACTTGCTTTAGCTCCCCCTTATTTTGTTTTCTGTTTCCCCTTTGTTCAGAAACCAGAAGAAGAGTTCATCAGTCACAGGGTCCAAAGGGTGGCTAAATATCATTTTCTAAAGGTATCATTTACACTTTTCCTCATTTGTTGATTGTTGATAGTCATCATCACTTAATCAATTCATCTTTGGCAGATCGAAACAAGCGTATATCTCTTTGTCTCTTGGTGTGATATTGAGACTCCATATTGCCATTTTTTTTTTCTTTCTAGATTGAATCTTTAAAAGTTTATTGAGTTGTGCAAGATTTCAATATGATTTCATTTGTAGTGACTAATTATTTGGTTTAGTATTAGGATGTGGATTGGCAATAATTCATCATTCCATACATGCAGAAACAATATGATCTTTTACTAAATGCTGATGATCTGGATGTTCAAAATAAAAAAACACCACACTAATTATATGGCACTTGTACATAATTAATTCTAGATATTCAAAATATGGAGTATGAAAAATTCAAGTTACTTTTCCTCAATGAAAAACAATTAATAGTTGTTTGAGATTAATCAAGCATTCTCCAAAAGAAGTTTTCATCTCTTTTTTTGTTGCATACATGACTACTAGTAAATATATTACAAAGTTTAGAAACAAAGAAATCAAAAATACATCTATGATTCTTTTTAAAAATAGATTTCACCAATCAATCTTGTAATATCTTGCTCGTCCATATATTTTCTATGCCTGATTCTATATTTGATTTCTATGCTACTACACTCATTGGCCCACATATGTCCTTGATAGTAGGCCTAATAATCTTTAAATGGTTTGTTTTACTTCACCCATATTTGCTACAGAACATTGTTTTGTTTTTGTTTTTGCTAATAATTTTTGGATATATATCAGGTGGGACTACAAGTTATCTACTAGGAATGAGTGGACGTATTGCAGCTCAAGCAGATGAAGCAAGCAACCCAATCAATGTGAAGAATCTATCTTTGGGTTGGATGATTGGTTTTCTCTTTCTTGTCAGCTTTGTTGGTCTCTTTTCAATTGTCCCCCTTAGAAAGGTATAATAATAATAGATTATTACAACAAACCAATTTTAATTTTAATAATATATTTTATTGATAAGCTTTTTAATTTGTAATTTTTTTTGAATTGTTTTTCCTCTCCTCCTCAGATGATAATACTCAAGTACAAGTTAAGATACCCTAGTGGAACTGCAATTGCCTACCTCATCAACAGCTTTCACACTCCTAAAGGAGCCAAACTAGCCAAGTAATTAATATTATCTCTTACCCTATTCTTATTTAATGTATCTATATAAAACTAAAATTGATATTATTTACCACACAATGTAACTATTTAGAACTAAGATATTACTTACCACTTGGCCCTTAGTGCCTCATGAAGCATTAAAGTTTGAGATTCAATTCCCATTGAAAAAATTATTAGATAGTCTTGGAGCATCACATGGTAATACTCCTACCAATTATCAAATGTCATATCCCTCATTGTTCTCCTATTACCAAACACCAAATTATAGGCTCCACTCATTCTGCCAATCACAATATTCCTGGACACTACCTAGCCATGCCCCAAGACCACCACATAACTTCTCCTCCCATTGAGTGCTATCAATTGCTCAAGGACTATGCCTGTGAGCATAGTCGAAGATTTGCCTGACTCGTATGGAAGGAAATGCTTTGTGTGAGTCTTGAGATTAGTCGAGTACACCCAATGAATACTTTGACCCTTCTATGGATAACGTAGGAAAAAAGAGAGGAAATATTTATACCACACTTTTTCTAACAAAAACAATTGACTTCTAACATTTAGGTTTATTCATATTCTTGATCTACAATTTTTCTTTTTACTTTTATCTTTTTTTAAAATTTTAAGTTGTGAGGGCCGGTGGGGGAAAATTATTAGAATTAGCATCTTGTTTATTTATTTTTTAAATTTTTTTTGGGAGCTAATGAGTTAATTAATTTGGATGCAGGAAACAAGTAATGATGCTATTCTATTCCTTCTGTGGTAGCTTTACTAATGCACTTTTTCAATGGTTCTTTGCTGCTACTGATGGCTGTGGATTTAATAACTTTCCCACCTTTGGTCTCAAAGCCTTTAGCCAAAGGTTAGCTCTTTCTCAACTTTTCTTAATAATCATTTTTATTATTTTATTACTTATTGCTTGTTTAAGTAATATTAGTGAAAAGAAAATGATTTGAAAATGAATGATACTTTTGAATTTATGAGAATCATATATAAAAACTATGTTTATGTATCATTATTCTTATTGAAATTAGTGATATGAGGATAGAATGTCCTTTGGGATGGAAGGCTTTATACCTTTTTGATATTGGCACACCATAACCTAATTAATGTCTTCAAACTTAACCATGCCCAATTTAATGTTATTCAGTTATTTTATGAATACAGAAAATTTTCATAAAAATGTATTTATGACTCATCATTTGTCTCAAATCTGTATTTGTCTAACATGTGTAATTAGATATTTACCCATAAAGTGTATTAAGTAATTTGAGTTAACAAGGCCTGTTAATACCAAGGTGCCTAATTATTACAAAAAATTATTATAGTAATTTTTTCTTTGATAAGTAACAACAGTGAAATGAGTAACACAAGTATATAGGAAAATAGAAACTTAACCACCACCACCACCACCACCACTAATAGTATAAACATCATATGCAAAAGAAAGGATTCAGAGCAATAGATAAACAAACAGTGACTGGTGTGAACTTCAACATAAAGACAACAGGCAACATAGCATACAAATTTTATCGTTTTACATGTAGTTGGTGACATTAACAGCTGTCATTAAGCCACTTTGTTCTGAATTGATTCCCAAGGGTGTGTGCTTTGCTCTGAAACTTGATTGATTTTAGGATTTGATTGTGTGTTGTTTATTCGAGGAAGAAAAATAGAAAATGAATAAGAGAGCGTGATCCTTCCTGTAACAAAATATCTCTGATAAATTACAACATTAATAAGTTGCCCATCAATTCCAAATATTTTTTATATTATTGGTTTTACTTATGTCAAATAGAATATTGAAATATAGAAGTTGGAGAAAAGATGAGAGCATCTACAATAGAGTGGCTAAAAATGTGTTTTATTGAGAATCTGTTTGACGTGGTTGTGATTCATGTGATGATTGTCAACACTTATACTGTGCTCCTTGTGGCAGGTTCTGATGAACTTAACAAATGACAACCCTGTGTGCTGTCAGCAAATTGCTGCCTGTGGAGGACTGGGGAAACCTTGTCTTCATTGATTGCTGGCCACTTTCCATCATTCAGTTCATCTTTGCCTCCCTTCAGCGATATAAGAAATGGTACTTGTTGTCCAAGTCTTAAGACATTTGAAAGGGTGTGATCGGTAGGACTTTATCTTTTGTAAGACTAGAACAATCTCTACAAATAGTTAGTTTATTCATATGCTTCTAGCGGTTTCTGAATTAATTTTTGTTTTCATTTTTCAGGTTAGAAATTCTTGGAGAGATGCAAAATATGGTCAAAGAATTCAAGAACTTAGTTTTTTAAGTTTTTTCATTTTTTAGTATATGTAAGCATGGTTTAAAACTTTTTATTTAATTCTTTTGTATATACTTTTGAACATATTTAATTTTTATTTATGAAATATATGACATTATTCTATTCAATATGTGGTTGTGATTCAAAATATAGTATATAGTGTGTATTATATTCTTGAAATACGCGTATAAAAATAATATTGATTATTCTTCAAATATGTCGAATTTTTTTTTATTACAGGTTTTATTAGTTATTAATCACACTTAAAAGATGTGATCTAAATGTTATTAATTACGCTTAAAAGGTGTGATCTAAATGTTTTTAAGCACACTTAAAAACTGTGATCTAAATGTTTTTAATCACACTTAAAAGATGTGATCTAAATATTTTTAATCACATTTTAAAGATATGATTGTAGACGTCCCCGAACGTCCCGGGAGGAAATCCCCCGTTTTGTTCATTAAGCTCACTACAATTCAGGACTCAATGTCACGGTCTTGTATCTAATCTCGCGGAGTGCAATGCAAGACCGATGAATCATCAAAGAGTCCAAATCCGACAAATCGTTTTGGAAAATAGATTTTTTGAAAGAAGTGCCAAACATGGACTGCTTTGCCAGATACAGAGTCGCCACCTAAATATTTATTTTGGGGAAATTTAGGAAACCCTGACTCGTTGCCTAAAGCCACGTGTCCATTATCACCAAAGTTGCTTCGGCTCGAGAACTTGGGTACGATTGGGGAAGGTCACTTCGTGAGCACCCCTGCTCGCCCGATCAAAGATCGGCCTCTACTAACCATGATATCTAGTTTTGAAAACATTATGCGTTATTATTCCGGTTATTAGCCCAGATTTACTATGTGATGCGCACAGCACAAAAGTATAGACTAAATCGCCTAATTTGGAACAAAGCATTGCATATCCGCTCATTTGAAAGACAATTTGAAATTTGCTACTCGCAAGTAGGCTAAAATACGGATTTCAACGAGTTGTTCCAACTCAAATAATCCAACCTTCACCCACAGGCATTCAGGCAATTATATCAACTAAGCACATAGCCACATGGTAAGCATGCTGTCATGTTAACATTCACATTCATGCGAGATGCTAAAGCACAAATACTTACAGTGTACTCCAAGCCAAAACAAAGAACTTGTTAGTAATCAAATGTATGATCCAAGTCCATGTTAGAATGGCTAATGCATCGCAGGCAAAATGCAACTAGAATAGGCTCGGCTAATCTATAGATGGCATGTGAAATGCAACAGATAACACGTATTCAAGTTAGATTTGAAATACAATGCAGTTAGTATGATGCGCCGAGCCCGGTGCATGCAATACAGATGAATGATGCAAACATGCAAGCATAAGTATGCTAACTGAAACATGCCCTAATCTAACCATCATAAGCGGGTAAATAAAAGGGAGAAAGACGTGGGGTTGGAAGACATACATCACACGCACGCACACTTATTACAATTGTGCCCTCGCTCGGAGGGTCCGAATAAATAATACAAGCCACCTAATTAACTAGCTAACAAGCTACTTAATTATTGCAGAACCAAATTAAATAACTAGTTACAACTAATTATTACACAACTTAATTAATTAACGAATCAATTATTACAAATAACAAATGCTATCTATCTAGTAAGCAGTAAAAGAGAATTGCTCCAGCTCTGTTTGAAGAAGAGGAGGGTATGCTTGCTCGTTTCGGTTCCTTGCCTCGAAATGCCTTTCGGTTGCTCTTTAGAGGCTCTGTTTGCAGGGTGTCTTCTAGCGCTTGTTGCTGGTCCTTACCAAAACACTGCAGGGGAAGTCACCAGTGGCCTGCCGGCCATGGAAGGATCACTGTCGGCCAAAGGTGGTCCATTGCCGGCCAAGGGTGGCACACTGCCGGCCATCAGTGACAGGCTGCCGGCCACTGGTGTGCTGTGACACCAAACTGCAATGAAGCACGAAATAGAGAAAATGGAGGGTTTCCCAAGGACATGTACGCACCATGGCACTCCAAATCACCTCAAAACATCAAGGGAGAGGCCTAGTCGGATCCACGACCATCAATCATGCATCCCGATGCATGATGGCCAAAGATCCAACTTGTGCAAATCAATATGAAAATGAATGCACAAATAAAGCAAGTAAAGCCTAGAGCTCTATCATGAATCATCAAGGGCTTCGGCGATCGAGAATTGAGACACATTCCATCACTTGAAGTATGAAACGCCCCTCGTTCCTCGTGCTCAGATTAACACTTACTCCAAGCAATGCAGCACATAAGCATGACAAACATGCAACATGACCTAAATGTGCAAACATGCAACTAAACCAAGCATGCAACAAGCATATAAGCATGATGTGAGGTGATGACCCTGGACAACATGACAAAATGCAGCATGAACATGTGAGCATGCAAGGTATGCAAAGCTAAACAAGTATGCGACAACATACGAAATGAAACAAGCATGCGACAACATGGTAAGATGGGCTTACACCAAAGATGGACGGCGATAAGTGATGAATTGATGGCATGAAAAGCATGAAATGGCAAGGCAAACATGAATGCCAAGTGGCTCAAGTATTAAGGCACAAAGAGGACAACTCTTAAGCACACTTAAGGAGCAACAAACACAGATGTATGACAATGAGGTAAGCTCTGAAATCTCATGTAAAGTGATGCCAAATCAAATCAACCATGCAAGCATAGCATGTCATGATGCTCAAAGCTCAAGGTAAGCAAAGGGACTTAAGCCACGGCCATACAAGGCAAGCCCCAAGGGGCCGAGGGGACCTAAAACAGTCCTAGGGCAGGTCCAAACAAGACCAAAACTAAGCTCAAAGCTAGCCAACAAAGGCTAGAACACAAAGCCAAAAACATGGAGCATGCAAGGCTTTAAAGAGGCAATGCACTACACCTATTGAAACCATACATGGCATGACTTGGGCGACATAAAATAGAGTTACATCATGGTATAATAGGACCCAAAGTGCGCTGAAATGATGAACCAAAGGCTTAGGCTTAATGGCATGCACAAAAGCTCATTCTTGAGACATAAAACACAAGCTCTATAAAGCATTGAAGGCATGTCAAATGCAAGTGTATGACAACATTTCATGGACTGAAATAGCATATGGAATGAGGGCAAAGCATGCAAACATCACATGTATGGCATGGTAGGGGCCTCAAAACCCAAAACTAGCCTAAGCATTTACACTATAGCTATACAAAGCACGAGTGATATGGCCATGGCAGCCCAAAATAGTCCTAGAACACTTCAAAATAAGCATAAAATCAAGTTTGAGTAAAGCCAAAATATGCTAGTATGATGAGTCAAAACATCATGCACAAAGGGCTAGTAAACATGATTTGTTCTACACCTATATGGAGCATGCAAAGGATGATTAAACCAACTATGGATAGGGTCATATCATGCCAAATGATGACCAAATACATGCTAGAATATAAACCAAACAAGCTAAAATGAAATGGCATGGCATGGAGCATATGAAGCTAGTTTAGGACATTTACATTACAAGTGCATCATGAAAGCATGGGGTAACAAAACCAACCCAAAACAGGTTCATGACATGGTAAAACATCACCAAAAATGGACTGAAATGGACTCAACAAAAGCCAAGCACACATGGTACTTTGATGAGCTATGGATGGAGTTACACTACACATACTATATGCATGGAAAATATGACCAAACCAACAATGGACAGGGCCAAGGTGGGTCCTAAAAGTCACAAAAATAGGCCTGAACCAAGCCTCAAAGATGCATGGAGGGATGGTCCTTTGGAAGGCCAAAAATGCAAGTAAAGAGGAACACAAAGAGAGGGGACTACCCCCTCTGATTTGGGACCTCAAAACCATACCTCTACCACCAAAATCACACTGAATTTCAGTTGTAGAAAGGCCACACCAAGGCTAACTCGGAGGCCTCAAGATATGGCTTAAAACAAAGTCAAACAAAGCATGCAAGGGGGCTACACACCCCAAACAGCAAAGTGACCTTAACCAAACTTAAAAAGCACTTAAAATCAAGACTTTTTCCAGTTATAAGAAAAGCCTAAATCAATATGCAAAGAGGGCTAAAGCAAGGTGCAAGAAAGTGCAAAAATGGGGAAAATGCTTACCCTTGAAGACCCTCTTCGAACCCAGCAATTTCAGGGGGTGGAAGCTCACTTTCAGACCTCAAGAAGACCTCCCAAGAAGCTTGGTTTAATGGTGGTGGTGTATATCTAGGTGTTGTAGTGTAAAAGTGCAAGGAAATCCAACTTCAAAGCACAAAACTCCAACAATATAGAGAGAGAGAGAGAGAGAGAGAGAGAGAGATTTTTCTCTTCCAAAACTCAGAACCTCTGGCAAAGAGGGAGCCCTCTTGCTTATATAGAGGAATGTAAAGCCAAAGCTTCTTCAAGAAGCTTTACAAGGGCTTCGTCCCTCCATACACGTGTATGGAGGGGAGCAAACAAAAATCCAGCTGGCTCAAAAGATCTGGAGGAAAACCAGCTAAGATAGGGGGGGTGCCGGCCATCAGCAATGGCCGGCAGTAGCTCACTGATGGCCGACAGGGCATCACCAGTGGCCGGCAGGAGCAAAGCAAAGGCCGACAGTTCCATGCCATGGCCGACAGTGCACGAAGAAGGTCCCTCTGAAAGGATCTAGCCAAGATCCAAAAATGGGGCAGAAATGATACAGGGTCCGGGAAGCTCGAACAGGTGACGTTCCGCTGCGACGGTCGAGTACTCGGCGAGCAGTCGAACTAGTTGTTGGGTGTACCTGCAAGCACAACCAAGTCCCGAGGACAGTCAAAAATGGGGTGTCTACAGTTGCCCCTCTTTAACAGAACTCGAAAGTCACAAAGTGACGGGAGTGAGTGTCAAAGCCTAGAGACGACTCATTTTTGACAAGGCCGAAGACTCAGACAATCAATCAATATAGGCATACAGGGATGCGCTTGGAGGCTGGGGAAAAATGCAAACGGCATGCAAGATGCAAGAGCA